CCCCCCCCCCCCCCCCCCCCGAGTGCTAGGATTAAAGGCATGTACCACCACTGCCAGGCCAGTCTTCAAATGTTATTTTCTCACTGGTTTAGGATGCTCTTTTTAACTATACTCATCATAGTCTTGTATGTTTAACAAGCTAAGATATTTTTAATTTAAACCTATAAGAACACAAAAGCTCTACACATTACAGGGCCACCGTATGATGTATGCTGCACACTTTAATTAGGCAGTGGCACAAATCTCCTCAAGCACTTATCTTTCCTCTATGATAAAACATTCAAAATCCTCTCTGCCAGCTTCAGAAAGGCACAGACCTTCAGAGCTGTGTTGGGAGTAGTGAGACCCCAGATCCTGAATTTCTTGTAAACAACTTGTTTTCCCCTGATCTGAGTGCCTACAGCTGCTCTGAGCACTAGACCTTCAGGAGTTCCTGATGGCAGGAGAGTGGTTTCTGGTGGGTTTGGCTGGGGCGTGGCTATCTCTATATAATCTGCCTCTGAACACAATAAAGGGGCATTCTTGGGGAATTCAAGGACGACCCGTGTTGCTGTCTCTCTGGTGTGTGTCTGTGTATTTTAACCTCCAGCCCCCTTGCCCGAAACTCACGAACTGGGTAATAGCGCACAGAGCGCAGACATGGGGGCACGGTGCGCGGCAGAGTTGTGGTCGTCTTACTGTGCGGGGGGGGGGGGGTGTCGTCAGGGCTCCTTCCTGTGGTCCAGCTGTGACTCAGTCCCCACCTCTTCTCATTCTGTCTCACAACCTTCATTTTCAGAGCCACATTTTGTAGATGCCACATTGAGCAAGACCACAGGACCACGTCCGTGGTGCTTGACTTCCTGTGCCTGACTTATTTCACTTAACATAGTGATCATTTCCATCCCTGTTGCTACAAGTATACAGGTTTAGCAATGGCTCAGAGGTTAGGAACACTGACTGTGCTTCCAGAGGGTCCTGAGTTCAATTTCCAGCAACCACATGGTTTCCAGCCCTTTATATTGAGATCTGGTGCCCTCTTCTGGTGTACAGGCATACACAGAGGCAGAATGTTGTATACATCAATAAATATGGGTTTATGGCTGAATATTTCTTTAACCATGCATCAGCTGCTAGACACTAATGTTGGTCGCACATCTAGGCCAATGTTAAGTGTGCTGCTGTGAACATAGGTGTGCAGGCGACTCCTAGGCAAGGTGACACGTCAGAAGTCGGCCTTTTGGCTGTTTTGTCAATTCTCTCTGGCTGTCTGAGGACTCTCAGTACTATGTCCATGCTCATTTGCCCTCACATTAGTAGTGGGGGAGCTATTTGGGCCACATCCTTGTCCACACTTGCTCTCTCTAGTCTCCACACCAGCCATTCTTCCCGGCACAGGCAGGGACTTGCTGTGTGGTCTGGATTTGCCTTGCTCTGATGATTGGCGAGACCCCCATTTTCTTGCTCCTTTTGGCCATTTGACTTTTAGGAAAGTCAACTCAGGTCTATTGCCCACTTTCAATATGGCTACTCATGGGGCCTGGAGAGATGGCTCAGGAGTTAAGAACAGTGACTGCTCTTCTAGAAGTCCCGGATTCTATTCCCAGTATCCACATGGCAGCTCACCACCATCTGTAACCCCAGTAATGGATGGTACCCTCTTCTGACCTCCATGGGCACCAGACATGTATGTGGTGTGCATGCTAGCACGCGCGCGCGCACACACACACACACACACACACACACACACACAGTGCCCATAGCTGGAATTCTTGAGTGTTGTAGAGTTCATCTCCCCTAGAGTTCACAGACCTGCAAAATGACCTCCAATGCCGCTGACCTACAAAGCGAACTCCACGTCACGGCAGACTCTCAGGCGAAACACTCAAACACGTAAAATGAAGTGAAATGAGCCTACTGAGGCTTGCTTCCGAGCCCATTATCTGAAGAGTAGTTTGAATATTCTCTAGCATTGTGTAGGTGGGTTCTTCCCTCTGCTGTCTGTCTCCTTTGCTGAACAGAAGTATTTTGTTTTGAAGTAGTCCAAGGAGATTTTTGACAACATATTTTGCATCATCAAAGCCTTACTGTTAGACTTACATCTTTTAAAAATTAATCAAGCCATTTTCTTTTATTAGCAATTGAAATGCTAGCATTTCTTGTGACAAAGTAAATGGGGTTGAAGTCATTGAAATTTTTGTCAGTTTGCCAAGATAATCAGGAAGTTATTTGCGGGCTGTCAATTTGTGGTCTAAAAGGACCCCTTTGCTCTCCCAGCAGCTCAATTTTTAGGCATCCCTCAAAAAAAAAATTACACAGTTTTGGCAGCCACCTGAAGGCAGAGAGCTGCATCGGTTGGGAGACTCCACTTAGTCTCCAGGTAACGCCTACCTCCATTGGTTCCAGCTGGACAACGCCCATAGCTGGAATTCTTGGGTGCTTTAGTAGAGTTCACAGACAAGCAAAATGACCTCCAATGCCACTGACCTACGAAGAGGACTCCATGTCATGGCAGACTCTAAGGTTGAAGCAGGGCATTCAGTTCATGTGTTCCTCAGTTTGTAGCAATTTGTAGGTACAGAGTGACCTATCAACAAATCAACGGCCCAAGTCCCCGAGATGACATGCTCTCAGAAGCTCATAGGAGGCATCCACGGCCAGAGGAGACGGACTCCACAGGCACTCTGCCATGGTGCTCCGGCTGCCCTGACAGACACAAGCCCGTGGAATCTGCATCTGACAGACACAAGCCCGTGGAATCTGCGTCTGTCAGACACAAGCCCGTGGAATCTGCGTCTGAGTGCTCTCACTTGTGTGTGGACCTTTTGCACATCAATTGGGGATCTCTGGGAAAGAACATTGGAACCAGGGAGCTTTGCAGACTGGTCACATTTGGAACCCCCAGGTCAGTGCTGAGAGCTGTTTGTTTACTGGATATGGTTGGTGATGGTTAAAAAATGGAAATTCACCTAGGTTACTATAGGCTGTGGCCAAGCTCCCTCCCTTCCCATCACCCATCCTTCCTGTGCTCCTGTCTGCCTCCTCAGGCCTGCGGTCTTTACTACTGATGCTGTCTACACAGTGGTTAGTCACTGTGCATGTGGAGTGGGAAAGAAAGCCAAAGTAAAGTTGCATTTTCAGAAAACTCGATGTTGGGAGTGAAAGCACTCAGACGGGTTACAAGAGAAGTAGATGGAAGACTGGAAACGTGGCTCGGTGTAAAACATTTCCAAGTTTGAAGAGGCCCTGGGCTCCATGTGTTACACACTCACGCACACACGCAAGTACACACACACGCATAGGTATTGAAGGCATGACATGTGTGACTTGACAGTGGAAAGGAAAAAGCATGGTGACATAATAAATAAGGAGAAGTGGAGGAGTAAATCGCAGCACTGATGACCTCATTTTAAATGACCCAGGGGAGCTGTGATGACTTTGGCTTCGCGAGGACTGCAGTAAGGGAGGGAGGGCCTTTGGATAACACCTCTAGCACATAACCAAGGGGGATTCTGACTTTCTAATACTTTGTCCCTTTCTACTTACCTATATAGACTTGATGAAGTTCATAATCATTGCAATGGATGTTTACTACAAAGATATTGGCCGCACCCTCATGACACGTTAAGGACAAATTACCGAGAAATAAATTGTAGGTACAGCATAAAAATGATTAAAGGTATGTTACTGTGGGAATAAGTTCTTGATGGATTGTTTAATAAAAAATCCAGTTACCATATGGTGGCTTGGTGTCATTTTTATTTCAGTGATCAAATACAGATTATAAACATATACATACATGTATGTACACTTAGATAACACAGAAGACAGGGAGAGGCGAGACAGAGGCCTAGGGGACCAGAGGAAAAAGAGCTCCCTCCTTCATCCCCTTCCATCCACCAATGGTAGAGCACTCCCTAGAAAACAAAAATGGGCGAGTGGAGATGCGGGGGAACCGCAGCCATCACAGAGGGATGGAAACATGGCGACCTCACGAATCTGAGTCTTCTAATCATTTGACAACTATGTCACACCCGCCATCTGTACCGCAAAATCAGTTTCTCATCCAGATCTTACATTGCAAATCACTTCTTGTCCACTATTCATTTCCAATAAGAGATATCAACATCTTTAGCTCAGAGATAAGCACACATCACGTTTATTAACTTTGGCGTGCAGCCAATAAATTATAACAATAAAATAAACCACAAGTGGCTAACTGTAATAAATTATGAAACAAAAATGTATTACTAAGGAGCAGGCATTAAATATATCTCCCCCAATAATCCCAAAGACACCCTAAGTTCAGCACCAAGAATTCCACATATTCTGGTTACACAATACTTCAAACTAGCAGTAGCACATGACATTTTACAACAAAAGGCCTTGGGAAAGCCTCCAGTTCATCCCCACGTGTCATTTCACTATTCTATCAGTTAGCATAACTAGGAACGAGGAAAATCAATAAGGTATTTGCTTTGTGTCGAGGGGACACATAGGCTTTTAAATGTCTTTTAATGCAGTACAACTGAACTATGAATCAGGGTTAAATTAGGCAAATTTGTGTCCTGTATTATCTTATTTCTGAGAATGATTTCGACTAGCATGCACTTCCCCCTACTTTATGAAACTTCCTTTCCCTATTGTATTTAATAAGTGCCACTCTTTCCTCATACTTTACAGAGCAGTGTGAGCACCCAAACAGCTGGGGAGAACCGGGAACCAGGAGAGAGCAGCAACCAGCCACAGGAGCAATAACCACACTTAGCCAACGTTGGTGTAGGCCAGCACAGCTGTAGAATGACGGGCAAAGGACCTGCTGTCAACCTGAATGACAGCACTAGGCATCTGAGGTTGACAAACGTGCTGGACATTAGATTCTTCAACACAGAAACAGTCTGGTCCAGTTTGATTGACAGCTACACCACTCCAAGGGGCATCCAACTGTGGCTGTCAAGCTCCCATGAGGTACCACTTTGGCAACAGTGAAAACATCAGCTATCTTTCCGATCTACAACTAGTGAACCAGCACCTTCAAGAGTGGCACACACAGTAGGCTACAGGAATACCATTACTCTGAACTGTTCTTAGCCAATTACCTTAAGGAAACATGAACTCTTCCACATCTAAATTATTCCACACTGTATTATTACTTTTGATATGTGTGATACCTTTTTGCTGTTATTATGGAACTTACTCTTATGTAAGAGTTTTATTTTTCATTATTATAAACTAATTTATACCTATATTTGGTACTTTTTAAAGAAATATGGGCAAGTCTTATTTCTTAAATAAGCAAATACATTAAGATAATCTTAGCAGGTTCAAGTCTTCCCTCTGGAACTCAGACTGCCACATTACAGACTTGGATGTTCACTCACTGGCCAAATCTCTGCTTTATTTTTACTACAGGAGAAGGGGCGATTATATTTAACTAGATAAATTCCATAGAGATTGAATCCAGGTTGTTGTAAGTTGGAAAAAAGAACCCTATTATTTACTCTCTATATAGACTCATCCTAAATCACATGTGAGGGAACAACATTTGGGGCCTTGGGTATATCTTCACGTAATTCTCTTCAGAAACCATCTTTAAAGACCAGCATTCAGGTTCCTGGCAGCACTTGACTGTAACTGGTCCATCAAAGACAGCCCAGAAGCTTGAGTTCTGCATGCTAAAACTGTGTGCTAAGTAAGTACTGTCCTGCTCACCCCAGACTGGCCTCCCGTCCATCAAGTGGGAACCAAGGTCAATGAATATGACAAAGGCTATTTACTGAGTCCTATGTTCCAAATACTTCACTTTAGCTTGCATGTATCATTCATTTCTCATGATTCAGAAGCTATCAGCAATAGCAAATACAACACTGTACAAAGTGACCATGAAGAGCTACACCTGTCTGATCTCCTTTTCATTCCTTACAATGTGCAAAACCCTTTTTCATCTCTACCTATTGACTTCAATACAAATAGCCTGCATCAGTCTATTCTGGGAGGCTTGGTTGTGGGAAAACACACAAATTCAAGTCCTGAATCCCAAACCGATAGCACCCTGCTGAGAATCTTTCAGTGACCACTTCTGGCAGTATCAAAGGCTTCTGGCTTCATCTGTGGGTGTCTGTCACAATCTGCTCTACTCTGGCAATGCTACATAGCCTCTCGTGACGTCCTGTTTTGTGCACATCCTACAGTTGGGTCTTGCTCAAGCTGCTGGCTTTGCTAACACTATGTCTGATGAACCTCTGAGATGCCATGAGTCCTCACCTCATTTTAGATGTAAGGAAGATTAGCATCTGGAGGTACCGGGAAAGGACCACATCTCACCAGCACTGCAGGATCAACACCTTGGGAGTGACAAGCGCTTGCAAGGTTGATTGACTCAGAGGTCAGCCACTGTCTCTGAGGTCACACAGGTCTCAAGGTCAAGGAAGACAGTGGGGTTGGGTCCTACTGCTCGTATGTTTGCTATATGGCAAGTTATTTTGGATTTGCTTAGCCTCAGCATTTTTATCTGCGCAGTAAAGCTAATAACACCTACCCTGAATAGCTGTTACATATTTGACAAATTCCATCTGTCAAGAGGCAGCAGAGATGATGTAAGAGCTCGGGGAACAGCAGCAACCATGCTTTCCGTTGATTGTCTCTGCAACACATTACTGCATACAGCAGCTGGCAACAGCTGGTGTTTCGGGAAATGGCCAATCACGGATGGGATCATTTGATACAGGGAGAAGCAGAGGCCAAATAAATAAATAAATAAATCTTGAGTATTTTTACAAAGTCACTTTCTCATTCAGCTGCTTCTAAAGTCAAGTTGAAGCACTCCAGGCTAGTTGAGAAGGTGAGAGTTACCTTCATTGATCTTTATAACTTTAGTCTGGAAAGAATTTTGATAATGACCCTGAACCCTTACGAAATTTTCACAAATACTATATAAGACACAGCTACCATCAAATTGCTGGCTTTTGACCAAATAATAAGCAAATTGAGATGGAATTTAGAAAGAAAATTTCAGAAGTGAACCCATTAAATAAATGGCCATGATTGTCAGGTGAGGCCCACACAGGCAATGCACACTGAGATTAAGCCATAAGGCAAGGGTCTTTGACGAGAGCTCTGAGGCCTCAATCTGCCCAGTGGAGTCGCTGTTCTGGGTGGAGTTAGCATAATCTGGCCATCCTCCCCAGGGACCGTTAATTCCCAAACTCCAATGAAGAAGCACGCGCTCCCACGAACTGAGTCATTCCACGATGGTGGAATCTGATGGCAGCCTTCAATCAGCGGACTATCTATGCTTTAAAAAGACGTAGAACTCAGTGACACACACCACCCACATCAGAAATGACTAGGACGTTGCAAAGCTTCATGCATCTGGATCGTCTCAGCAATCTGACCGCTTCTTGCCTGAGGCAGTTTATCTACTCTTGAGAACACTGCTTCCACTGCCTACACTGTAAAGCACCTCTCTCGCGCTCGCTCCATAGAAGTTCCTGCAGCGATTAAAACAGACTCTTCTACCACAAATAATGAGATGAATGGTTCCAAATCCATGGGCGAAGGTGGTGAACGGATAAATCCAGAACCTGAGTTGTCAAAATACTCTCGAGGACACATTTCTGCTCGGAGGGCTCCACGGAGGGTGGGTCTCGCTTTCAAGGAAGGAATGGCGCTTCTTTTGTTTCCGTTCAATTTTTTCCTGCTTTTCTTTCTTCTCCTAAAGGAATAAAAATGTAAAAGAAGAAAACAAAAGACAGAACAGAAAACTCTAAGTTTATATACACTTTGTGACCTTGTTATTGAACTGGACTGCTGGAAGAAAATAATTCATTATAAGATCTTGGCACACAACTTCTTGTTTAATTAGTTTTGAAGGAAAAGTAGCTAGGGACTATTGCTGATTTGTTTGAACATGCAGAAATGTACTATTAATAGCAGTAATGTCATTGCCTGGTTTTTGAGACAGGCACTAAGAAGCCTGGTGGGAAATGGGGAAACAAACTGGAAAATTCAAACTTTGATATCCAATTGCCCCGGTAATATTGGCAATAAGACAAGACTTTGATATGTGAAGCATTCTAGCATTTTAAAAAGAAACAAGCACTATGTAAGAGATTAAAAGATCATAACGAAATACTGACTGCTTCATTCAAATAATGCACTTCTTATTTTTATTTTTGAAGACAGGGCCCTACCATGAGCTAATACTAACCATCCAATTCTGTTACCCCCTGCATGGAGCTGTCAGGAAGCCTTGCAGGAGTCCTCAACTGCTTTTCACAGCCAGAACTGCTGACTCCTGGAAGGGACTCTTACTTTCCCTATCACCATTGTAAGGTCGCTCCCACCCAGTTGCCTTGAGTTGCATTTCCCCCCTTGGCCTGCAGGAGAGTTCTGCAGTGGTCTTTACTGGCCTTAGGGGATTATTCCTTTAGTCCTGAAGGTTTCATCAGATATTCCACTGTTAAGGAGTTCAGCTTGGCCTTGTGTGCTCTAGGAAGAGCTAAAATGTGTATGAAAAGGGACGCACAGGGAGAGACACCTTGAAAGAACTGGGATGGGGTGTCACCCAAATCCACAGGGAAGCTGGCTGGGACAAGAAAAAAAATACATGCATAACAAGACTGACCAATGAAGTACAAGGTCAAGAAACAGAACCCAATGGGTTTTTGATCCTACTGCACGTACTGGCTTTGTGGGAGCCTAGGCAGTTTGGATGCTCACCTTACTAGACCTGGATTGAGGTGGGTGGTCCTTGAACTTCCCACAGGTCAGGGAAACCTGATTGCTCTTCGGGCTGATGAGGAGGGGGACTTGATCGGGNGGGAAATGGGAGGCAGTGGCAGGGAGGAGGCAGAAATGTTTTATAAATAAATAAATAAATTTAATAAAAAAAAAAGAAAGAAACAGAACCCAAATGCAGGGGTGTGTCATGAAGATGAGCTCTTAATCCACCAGGAAGAAAGGTGCTGGTTCGTGAAACACATATCCCGGGAAAGCTAAGTTGGCATCAAATTCTCATCATGTAAGAAAATAACGCGAGGGCACAGTAAAGGCTAAGACACTGAGATACAGGAGCCGTAAAAAGAAGGAGGCAAACCCAGTAGCTTCAAACCACGGGGAAGGTCTCTTCACTAGGTGTGAGCATCAGAGGCCAAAAGAAAAGACAGAAATCCAAAATAAACTGGAACTGGCAGGGCCTAAGGCACTACTAAACACAGAAAAACAAGCAAAGTTGCATCTTCTACTAGAAGTCATAGGTGAATTTTCTATTGAAGAGGGATTTCAGAAATCACTAAGGCAAAGAGAATTCAACAGAAAAGTGTGTGCGCCTGTGAAGACCATTTGCAGAATATACGTCACTAACACATATTTGTAATGAAAACATGCTCCAGCTCCATCTGAGGCATGCATGCAAGTCAGGAAATCCTCTGCGTGACGCCTGCAGGCAGCAGACTGAGGTGAGCCCGGTGATGTCAGACAGTAACCTGCTGGAAGATCTGCAGAAGTGTGATGTGGGCACTACTCATAAGTGTGTCTTCGACTTGTACAAAGTATGTTTCTGTCTACTATTTATTCAAAATTAACAAAATGTGTATCTGTTTTAAAATAGAAGACTGTATTTTGCTTGACAGCACCAAAAAGTAACCTGTTAACATATACACATTAAAATCAAATATTTATTATTCTCACACATGTAGTAAAGAGCAGCTGGATATTGTACCTTCTAACTCCAATGCTGATCCCTTTCACTGAAGAATTACTAAATAAGACCCTTTTCCCTACCTCATCAGTAACATCAAAAGAACATAAGAAATCAACTAAGTTCCTCCCCATTAGCCTCAGCACTACTGCATGCGAGGGCTGGTTCCACCTCAAAGACTCTGGACCCTCAGGGCACAAGACTGCCTTCCAGGAGGTTAGAGGCAAGAAGCACAGAAGGAAGAAAGGGCACAGTGAGAAGTGCCTGAGGCGGGGGTGGCGGGGATGCATGCCTGGAACATCACACCTGCTGCAAGCTCACGTGCTTTGGGCAACCTTAGAAGTGCGGCCAGAAAGGAGAGGCCATGGGGGAATCTGAGCTGCACAGGAGGAAAGGCTAGGTAGTCTCCAAGGAAAACAGGACGGGAAAGAGAAGCAGAAAAGGAATAAAGAGCCAGGGAAAAAGGAAGTTCATTGCAGGCAACACCTACCAGCCACTTCTCGTATTCACTGATGGCTTGCTTGTCTTTGTCTTTCTTCTCCGCTCTTTTCAGCTCTTCCTTTCTTCTCTCATTGATTTTCTCCTTCTCCTTTTGTTTGAGAAGAGCCTCCTTTCTCTCACTCCTGTGTAGAACATGAAACACTGGAAAGTTAGAGAAGAAGACACGCTAGAGATGCCCTAGTGTAGCTTCGGAAGCGATGCGATTGGAAGGCATGGGAAGCCCTGCAAGCCTAAGTCCTAGGGAAGCCTCGAGTATTCCCTTGGAGCCACCGAGCTGCAAGGATTACCATTTCTCAAAAGCAGTCAAGTTGTCTTTCCTCTTCTCAGCGACCGTCTCCTCTTCCTTCTGTTTCTTCGCTCGCTCATATTCTTTCTCCTTCCTGGTCTTCTCTTTCAGGTACTCCAGCTTTTTCTCCTTCCATTTCTCAAAGGCCTGGAAGAGTTCACAGTGTTTTCCTTACTCGTCACCACTTTTCTGAGATGGACAAAAGTATAAGGAATCCTTCATTCAAGCACCAGGACCGCTAACAACCAGGCGCGGATGGGGTCTGCGGTACTCACCTGCAGGGCCTCGTCTTTCCTCGCGGCATTTTCTTCTTCCGTCTTCCTCTTGTTTTTTTCCTCCAGCTTCTTCTTTGCCGCTATTTTCTTTGCTTCCTTTTCTTTCATAGCCTTCCAGGCCTCGAATGATGCTAATGCTTCCTCCCTCTTAGCAGCTCTTTTCTATTTTGGTTTTTGAAAAAACAACGGCATACATATATGTGTCTAGACAGGAGTACAGGTCTAGACACATATACACAAATATGTATTTGTCTTCAGTCTCCCAACAGTTGTTATACAAAGTAGTAAAACAGGTAATTTATTTAGAATTACTTGGAAAAGTTGATCTACAGAAGTTATTCACTCCTTTTTAGAATGTCAAAGCACTTATCAGGGGTCGACCTATTTTGTATTCATGAGAAAGAAGCATCAATTGACTTTGGAAGTATGCTAAAATAAATGTTTTCAAAAAAAAACTACAACAGGCTAACTGGTATTGTAAAATGTTTAGTAAAAAAATCATGAAAGTTAAAAGATTATAAAGTAAGGTAAATTAATTACCCAAAGCACACAGTGGGTACAGGTGTTTGGTGTGGACCCTGTTTTGATATAAAGGCATAACATTCCTATAACAGGAACATAGACCAAATGTCAAATAAGGGCATCCCACTGTAGAACATGCGGGGCACTATGCAGCTAAGTCACACACTTACTCTCTAACCTTGTGAAGGCCAGTATTTGACCTCAAATACAGTTCAACCTGAGAAGACGTAGATTGCATCATGGAGGTGACATCATCAAAAGCAAAAGTCCCCGCGGGCCTAAACAGCAGTGCAAGGGCACAAAGGTGCTCAGCACAGCTCCTCGAGGTCGTACCGCAGAGACCCGCCTGGCCCCAGTGCTGCTCACTTCAGGGATGTCTCCCTGCTGGCCTACTTGTGTGCATCAGTACAATGAAGTGGGTTCGCGGGCAGGCGACAGGGACACAGTGAAATCATAGGAGAGGCTGGACAAGAGTCTCAGGCAGCAAAGGGGAATGTGGGTTAGGAGCCAAAGCAGGGGTTGGAGTGGAAGACAGGACAAGAAAACTGAAGGCCAGTGTATGCTATGTTCTAGCCTAAACTCTAATCACGTCAATTTCTGAGACTGAATTTGGTGGTCACACCGCTACTGCTAATATAATAGCCCTGCTGTGTCTACCCTATGCACAGGAGACTTAAAACGTACATGGGGCTTTTATGTAAAAGTTAAATTGAACCCAAACTGAAAATATGAAGCCAGAAATCGGTTCTTTCACGTATACATTTTACCACTTAAAAACCATTCATTTGGTGACGTTAAATACCCAGAGGCTCTTACTGACGTAGGATTCATTCTTTTACGTTACCTGCTCATTTTGGATCCGTAAGTTTTCACTTTCGATTCTTTTTATCCTGTGCATTTCGTGCAAATACACGTTTTTCTTCTCCAGCCACTCCTGTGACATTAAAAAAAAAAAGCTTATGTGATACTACAAGGTGCCCAGACGACTTATAACTCATACCCACATTTGAAATATTTGTTTAAAGTTTAAAAAAGAAACCAAGAAATTTATACATTTTGTCTAAAACAGCATTCTTTTCCCAGTGATGCTGTAAATGTAAATATGAATACTGTTGTTTAAGAAAATCTTACTGCATTATCTCCCGTGTATTGTAAGACTGCAATGATTTAATATGACTAAATGTATCAACATTTTATACTGAAATTCAAGTGTAAAATTTTCCAAACGAGGTTATATTCTGTGCAACAAAACAAAAAATATCTTTCTTAAAATTATGAAAAAAATAGGAAAATCTTAATTTGTGCAAAAATTAGGAAAATCTTTATCTCAAGAAAGAAAACATTTAAAAGATTTGATCATGAGCAACACAAACTTTGAGAATAGTATAAAATGCATGTAGATTTTACAGCAAACAGGTCTTTGCTATATTTCTATAATTCATAGCAGTATTTTCTCTTTCCTTAAAAACATTTTTTTAAGGAAATTTAAGCAAAATAGGGCAGCAAATTATTCAGAAAAACCCTCACGGTTGTTCACACACTTCTAAGAAAAGCTTCCCCAGTGACAGTGAGAATCCAGCTATCCTTTGAGGTGGTTGCAGTATTAACTGGTGGGCAGGCCTGTGGAGACCATCAGCTCTTGTTTAAAATGTGTTTTCCATTTACCTGGTAAACAGTTGCCCTTATGTGATCGGCTTTGTCGGGCTCCAGGCTCTGCTTCCGCGATGGCTTCTGGTCCAGGACTTTCAATGTCCCTAGGTAGTGAGAAGAGGTAGCTGCAGATGGACTTCTCCGTGTGGGGCCGGATTTCTTTAAAAACTCAGAGGTCATCAGCCTGGAAATTTCCAAATGTACGGAGAGCAGGTGAGGTAGAGCTGCCAGGTACAGTGACTACCTTCATATCCACACTCTAAGGTAGAGCTGCCAGGAACAGTGACTACCTTCATATCCACACTCTAAGGTAGAGCTGTCAGGTACGGTGACTACCTTTAAAGCCACACTCTAAAGCCAGGCATGGCCTCTCACACCTACAACCCTATACTCAGGGGGCTGAGGCCTGAGTTCAAGGCCAGCTTGAACACAGTGGGTTCCAAGCTATTCTGGGCTAAGTGTGGGGCCCTGTATCAAACAAACAAAATGAAAAAATTATGAGTGAATATAATGAGTTATAATTACCTTGAAAATAACCCAGTCAAAAGTCATGTTTTCTTAGTTCTGCTTACATAAATTAAACTTTAGAACTTTGAACTATAGTTCTCTTCTTAGATACTAATAATTAGAGCCCTTTAAAGAAACATAACCACATCTTAATAAAACATAAAAACTACACTAAACGTCGGTTTTAATCACTCTTTGGATATGTTACTCATTATTCTGTTGCTCTCTAACTGTGGATTTAGCAGGTCAGGACCCATATTTCAGCCGCCGTGGGGAAATCTGGCCTATCTTCTCTTTACTGCTTTGGCTCTCATCACTCATTTGCATATCCCCACCCCTCCTTCAGGCTGCAGCAGGGGCTCAGAGGTTAAGGCAGGGATAGAAGAGCTCAGAAAATGTCAACTACTGATTTACTGGGCAAAGGTGACAGCCTCTTCATTCGGCTAATACTAGATTAAAGGGATCGGAAGGCTGAGGCATTGGCAACACCAATCAGAGAGCATGGGTGAGGCTCTTGGGATTCTAGTACTTAGTATTATTATTATTGTTGTTATTTGGTTTTACTTGAGACAGGGTATTACGATGCAGTTCAGGCTGGCCTTGCATGCACACATCCTCCCGCCTCAGCCTCCTGCGTGCTGGATTACACATGGGCCGACATGCGTGGCTTCACGTTCTTATCACTTCAATAAACCCATTTAGCCGTGGAAAGTGTTTGCCAAAAACACTTAATAGAAAAACAATGCCGGATTTCAATTTTATGACCATCTATATATAGTCTCTCATCAAAAAAAAAAAAAAAAAAAAAACAGGAGCTTTGGCCAAGGAGCTGTACAATGAGATCAGGGAAAAAATAAAAACACAGCCAGGGGGAAAAAAAAAAAAAAAAAACAAAGAACTCTGAATAAATGGAGAGGTTTCTATGAAAGAGTGGAACCAACTAAGAGCTTCATCACGAGGTATCGATCCCATCTGATAACGGAAATCACTAGAAAGATCCATGACAGCAAGCAGAATGTGTTTCATGGACTCCCGACCGAGGTGGGTTTTGCTAAGCTGTGAGCCGACGCACAAGGACATTGGTAACTCTTACCTGCCAGAGGCACTGGACACTCGACCATTCGTTGCCTTTTTATTCTTCAAGTTTCGGTCTTCGTTTGCTTTCTAGCAGATGGGAAACACATAGACAGATCACTCGCCACGGTAACGTCGGGCTGAGAAGCAAAACTGAGGAAATCACTGTTCTATTTCTAAGTGTCAGGCACCTTATGCACTAGGGTTGGTCACTGAAAAACACTTTTAAAAACTTTCTCTTTTTCTTTCCCTCCCTCCCTCCTTTCTTCCTTGTACTCCTCCTCCACCTGTTTCTGTCTCTGCCTCTCTGTCTTCATCTCTCTCAAGAGGGTCCCACACAGTTCCGACTGGCCTGGGGCTCACTAGGGTCCCACATGGTTCCGACTGGCCTGGAGCTCACTGTGTAGCCAAGGAGCTCTTGAAACCTCTCATTAAAGCTGTTTGTGTTTTGAAGAGATTAAAATTTCACCAACATAACATCTCCATAGCTATTCTAAACAGCTATATTTTATGATCTGATCTATAGAAACCAATATAGAGACACATATATTATGTGGTTATGAACTATTTTAAATCATATCACTATGCCTGACAGTTTCCAGGGAACAACTGCCTTCATTCTGACAAGTGCAGACTTTCCTTGAAATTGAAATTCAACGTAATTAAGTAATATCTACTTGCAAATACAATGCCACTATGGAAAGATGTTCTCCACACGGATATAGAGGTACGAAGACAGGTATGAGATACATGAGGTTCTATTTCATGTGTGAGTCTGAAATGCCAGTGCTGAATGTTACAGACGGACCTTGGCTGGCTCTGCTGTCTCGGTGGGTGTGACGACACTCGGGGACGTGGAGAGCAGTGGGTCAGTGGTGAGGTCGTCATCTGTGAACCCAGCCTTTGCTCTGTCTTCGTCATTGTCACCAGCAGCCCCCTGACCTGCCTCGGCTTGCTCAAGTTCAGGAGAAACACAGTTGACCAAAACCGATGTTTCTTCGTTTTCATTGGATATCAGGGAATCCCAGAGTTCGGTAGGTTCTCCATCATGATCTGTTTGGAAGCAGAGAGACTGCACTGAATCTGAATCCTTCTGATGCCACAGTGTATGACAGACTTATTTACTCTCCCTCAAGTGAGTGCTGTCCTATTTAGAACGTTTGGGTGTGTGTTCATATATGTTCTTATGAATGCAGGTGCCCTTCTCAGAGGCCAGAGGAGCCAAAATCCCCAGCAGCTGGAGCTACAGATGTGAGCCGCCTGATGTGGGTGCTGGGAAGGAACCTTGGGTCATACAGAACAGCAGCAATGTGTGTGCTAAACTGCAGATTCCCTCTTTTGGAGCAGGCTGTCCTATAGCTGAGACCGGCCTTGAATTCCTGAGCCATCTTCCTTTACCTCCCAAGTGCTGGATTATAGGCACGAGCCACGATGCAAGGCTATAATCTCTTTTTTTCTTACAAAATAAAGCGCGATGAAAACCATCCAGTTAAATTTGAACACACTTGGTCTATGAATGCAAAAATGCTTATTCAATCCAACATTTGACAAGCCTCACACTTAGAAAACACAGCATATGCATAATAAGAAAGGAATAATTACCCCCAAGTAAAGGAGAACGTGTGGCTGTGCAAATCCACACCAAGACCGCAATATCCATCCCATTAAAGCTAGGAGCATGCTGGGAAAGCAGGAGGCAAGGGCTCCCTCCACAGCACTGAGGGGGGAGGAGCGCAGGCGAGCTGCACGCATGGCCAGAGGAGCGCAGATCCACATAGTTCACCTCACACAGAGACCCAGCCCAGCTCAGGCCAGATTCACACCTTCATTTCCTTCATTGTCTCCCATGAAGGCACCAAGGGCGGGGCTGCTGCACCCAGGACTTCCCCGGCACAGGCCTAAGCTCTGCATAAAAAGACTCAGTTCAGCTTTCTCAGAACTGCTGCTATTTACACTGACTCCATGACACTGTGGGGCACCCAACAGGCGTAACCCAGAGGCCACCACGTTACAGTCACCAGAAGAGTCAGCAGGCCATGTGTAGTAGAGGTTTTGGTTTCCACCAAGGTCCAACTCCCAGTCACAATAACATGGGTCACAAGCTTGCCTACAGCTGTGCTGATGGAGGCGCCCCCTCAGCTGAGATTCCCTCTTCTGAGACAGTCTAGCTCTATGCCAAGGTGACCAGAACTAGCCAGCGCAGCACTTAATGGAAGCCAGCCCACACGCCATCTTCCTCAGCTCTTCCTTTGGGCTGTCTCAGCTACACCAGCTCCAACATTAGCAAAGGAAATAACCGACATACACCTCATGTTTTCTATGCGTTTACCTAGGTAGTAGTCCCAGGGCATTACTAATCTTTAAAATCCCCACAACCACACCAGGTAGATGGCGCTGAGGATAAGGCCCAGGCCCAGAGGCTTGCTCCTCTGTCCATCTGTCTACATCTGGATAGAAAGCCCAGGTAGCCATTATGCTGTTATCTGCACGATGCCAACAACAACCACACACTACAGGCTCCCTTCAGTGACCATCCCAGTAGTCCTTGAGACTTTGCTGGGGGCAGAAAAGACATCAACACTCAATGCTCACAACAGCCTTTTGAGACAGGGACTACAATACACTGGGGAATTAACTTCTGGGTGGAAAGTCAGTCAACTGCACAGCCAGGGTTAAAGACATACCATTTTCCCGCAAATATACAAGATAACCGTTTCCCTTGCAGACAGGACACTGAGTAACACAGAGTTCACAAACGAGGTAGGACATAGGTGTGACTACCTTTTACGGATGTTTTTTCCTGAGGTTCCGGTGAGGTGCAATTTCCAGGGCTTTCTTTGAGGGATGATGAGGTCAGACTTTGTAGGAGCGAGTCCTGCTAAGAAAGTATTTACCATATAAGGTTAGCCCTAAGGATTCCCAGAGGCAACAGGGTCTTTAAGGCTGTCTGTGCTGGACAGTTGGCTCAAGGGTTAAGAGGGCTTCCTGCTCTTCCACAGGACCAACTTGGGCGGCTCACAACTACCTGTAACCTCAGCTTCTGGGAATGGGACACCCTTTTCTGCCCTCAACAGTACCTGTCAACCTACCAGGAAGGAAAGACCAGGGGCCAGAAAGATGGCACGGGAGATACAGCGCTTGCTGCACAAGCCTGGCACCTGAGTTCAATCCCCATGTAAGGCCGGAAGAGTGAAAGCCTCACAAAGTTGTCCATTGCCCTCCGCAGGCAAGTCACAGCGTGCACAGACTCACAGAAGCAACAAGCACACAAAATTTGTAAATATATAAAATATAAAACAAAATAGAAATAGGAAAGAAAAAAACAAATTTAATGGCACAGACCTCGCCACAAAGACTCCGGTCCCAAGTACCTTAACTGATGAGCCTTCTAATTTAACTTTTCATAACTTTGTGTTTCATAACAAATTTCTAGCAAATAAAGGGAGAAGACACAGACATACAAACACAATAACAGACACACAAAACAATAAATAGTAATCCCATCTGACATTTAAACCTGATTATAACACCTTGAAAAAAATCATACAGCAATTGCCTTCACATGTATAGATGCAAAGTTTCACAAAAAAAAGTAAGAAATCAAAGCACAAAACTTACAACGTCTTGATCAGTCAGGGTTTAAGGCAGGAAAGTGTGCAATTGACATGCACATCAGCCGTGCACACAGGCACACTGACAAAGGCAAGAGGAAGGTACAGAGAGGTGTGGCATCGGCAGGGCTGAGGCAGAGGAGTCAAAGCATTAAGAGCTCACACCAAGATGAACACACTTGGAACTGACCAGCGAAGAGATGGAGATTACATACCGGGGAAGAGACAAGGTTACAAACCCAGGGAAGAGACAGAGGTTACACACACAGGGAAAAGACGGAAGTTAAACACCAGGGAAAAGACAGAGGTTACACACCCAGGGAATAGATGGAGGTTACACACCCAGGGAATAGATGGAGGTTACACACCCAGGGAAGAGACGTAGGTTACACACCCAGGGAAGAGGCAGAGGTTACACAGGCAGGGAAGAGAACTGGTCAAACTCCATGGGAAAGCCCATGAGAGGGACCTTAAAGAAGAGTCAGAGCGGAGCCAGGGAGACACACAGTGAGTAGTGGGGACATCTAACTGTTAAAAATGGAGCGTCCAATGGGATAATAGCTCTACACTATGGGCTGTGTCAGATACCATGTGACTATATCAACAAGACCCCCTCACGGTGTGGAAAGATTCCATGCCTTACAAACAAGGAGAGTGATAATAAACGGGAGGAGAGTGGCCTGGAAGGAAAGCAGAGCCGCTACGCTGGCAGTGGAGTTACAGCTGTTCCTGTGAGATTTTCACCACAGGGCTACACTACTTCAATAAAAGAGTACACACACATCACATTTCAAGTCAAGCGACGCTGACTTACACATTTTAAGTTTACAGTTAAGAATCTGTACCTGGGGCTGGAAAGATGGCTCAGAGGTTAAGAGCACCAGCTGCTCTTTCAGAGGACCAGGGTTCAGTCCCAGGACCCACATGGCAGCTCACAACTATCTGTAAGTCCAGTTCCAGGGGATCCGACACCTTATGCTATGTTTACAGTCAAGGGAATTTTAGGCTCAAGGGAATCTAGTATAGTTTTTAAAAAATGAACACATCAAAAATAAAAGAAAAAAAAAACAAAAACAAAAAAGAACTCTTTAACAATTGCAAAGGAAAATGTGACATACATGTAGACAAACGCACGCGCATGCACACAGATGCAGGATAGGTCTGAACTAAGGAACTCGGCAACCGTTGTGCCCACCTCAAGATCAAGGTTTTCAGAGCGTCCTTTTCCCTCAGTTTCCACCTCTGTGCCATTCTGCCTTGGGAGGGCAGCGCTGGGGGCAGAGTCTTCACTCGGGGAATGTTCCTGGCCATCTGCACTGTCTCCCTCCTCCGTGGGGCTGATCTTTTTGACGCTCCTGGGCCGAGGTGAAGGCTTAAAATGGCCATCGACCTCACAGCTGCCGCCGTTTTCCCCTAAAAAAGGAAAGGCTGTGAGGTGCAAGCCCGACCTTGGCAGCGCTGCCACCATGGGGTGAGTGTGCGAGCCTGACCTCGGCAGTGCTGCGGGCATGGGGTGAGTGTGCGAGCCTGACCTCGGCAGTGCTGCGGGCATGGGGTGAGTGTGTGAGCCTGACCTCAGTGCTGCCATCATGGGGTGAGTGTGCGAGACTTCGGTCGGCAGTGCTGCGAGCCCCTGTGCACACTTCTCAAGCTCCAATAAAGATTTCTAAAACAATTGCTGCCATCCTGTAGTTAGCTAGTCTAATTTAGTTTTATTAAATGTTAATTTCAATTTTATGAGTTTTCTTAGTATTAAAAACATTTCCAAAACATAAAGCATCACACAACTTCCCTTTACAGAGTGAAACCCTGCTGAAGCCAGGCCCTCCACACAACACCAGCCCTTTTCAGTATTCAGCATTCAGGGACTTTGCAGGTGGAGAAAATAAATGATTCTTAAATAAATAAACTGACAAAACAAAGAAAAGTGCTCCTGCGGGCGTGGAGAAAATGATGCTGGCCTCAGGGTGTGGAGGGCCCCTTGTGGAGGAAGGGATGCAGCGCTGACTGCTTAGAGAAGTCTTCCATCCAAAAAATCCCTAGCAGATATGGTGGGACCCAGGGTACTTAGCACTCAGTGGTTATGGTGGTACCGAGGGTGTTGAGCACTCAAGAAAACAATCCAATCCCCAGCATTCTAAATACAGAATAATTAAAAGAGAAACCACTGATTTAAGAGTATGGCTAAAGCCAGGAATTACATTCTTTCTCTAATGGTGAATCAGCTATGTTTTCATCCACTCATTCTGATCCTTCATTACTTCTCTGGGCCAAATACTTTTCAGGGCCACTCATCTCAGTGTTTGTGCTCCAAACAGAAGAACCCAACAACGTCAGTATATTCCACGTCCCAATTCCATTTCCAGAAATGCTTTGCTTCAACCCTAGCAAGATTATTACTTAGATGGAAACCCTGAGTGCATCCACACCTAAGGGGCATTCAGAATTCTGCTGCCACTTTGTGGTTAGAACATAGTATTGCCTTACTCATTTCAATTTTACCTTTACTGCAACTTCCCACGGGCTTTTTCCAGTAACTGAAAGGTCTTGTTTATTAGCCCATATCGATGCAGCGCAGGCTAGCCTCAAACTCACAGCAATCCTACTGCCTCACCCTCTGGAGTGACAGGACTTCGTGTCTGCATTAACACACCAGGCTCCTCCACAGCTTTAATGGATTAACTAGGTGGAGAATTACTTGGCACCTACGGTAAACTGGGAATTACACACATTTGGCTGTTTCAGACTAATTTTTGCTGCTGTGTTCGCATTTCTTTGAGTTCCTTTTTTTTTTTAATTAATTTCTCTGGTCAGTTCTTGGGATTAAATTTGGGACTCTTTCCACATGCAGGGCAAGGACTTTATGTTATACTACATTCTCAGTCCTCGAAGTTTCTTAGAGACCAAATTCAGCTATGCTCTACCTACGAGTCCATCACTACACTTGGGAGGCTTAGGCTAGAGATAATTCAGCTTCCTTACATGGGCGGCTTACATTTGATGGCATTTTCTAGTTGCTTCAAAAGATTCTAACACAATACTGTGGGACAAGAAAAACAGGTTTGCCCTCCCACTCCAGCAGCTGGAGTGGCCGAATCCATTTACCCATGTTGCACATAACTACAGGTGGCGAGGTCTGTGATCGGTGGCTTGGACGCTTTCCTGGGAGTCTCTGTTCTGATTTTATCCTTTTGTCCCTTTGAAGTTCCTAAGAGTATCAGGGATGAAAGCGTCATTCCTTAACATATGTCTGAAATCAAGTTGTATCTGATGTCGCGGGTCCCATCTACCACGCTAACTAAGAAATGCCTGGCAGAGCTACACTTGACATGATGGGGAGACTTCACACAGCTCAGCATTAACTAGTTCTTCCTTTGTAAAACAGAAAGGAAGATGACCAGGAGAATCCTCGCCTTCCCACGTGCTAGTTCCGTGGTATCGCCCACGGGCTCCCAGGGTACCACTTGACTGTCCTCTCCATTAGTCCTCTCCCCCCCCCCCCCCCGATCAAGGGGTTAGCACACTGGTGGAGAGAACCTCAATCACACCAGGGAGCTACTTCTATCCTCAGGAAACTGGATTTTGGCTGATAGTCCCATGCAGTAGACCAAAGAAAGATTCTTCTTTCTTAAGGAGAACCTGGAAGCTTCATTAACACCAAAAGCAGAATATTGACATAGAAATGCTGCCGTGCTCCAGTAGGCCTGCACTTGAACCCAGGGCCTTGTGTATGCCGGCTGTCTACCCACCACTTCACCACACTATTCACTGCAGCTCCCTCCCCACACACCGAATGGAAGCTGATGAGTGTTTGGGAGCTGCATCTGTGGGTGACCACAGCAGCTTGCTTTTCTCTCACTCCCCAGCACAGATTCCAGACTGGATATGCAGAGGGCTTCTGTAGCCATGGCTACTAAGCTACAGCTGAGAAATTGGAAAGTTGAATTCATTAGCTACCATATGAAAAAAATTGACAGGTTATCTTAAAACAAATGTCCCGGAAACACAATTACAGTAACTTCCCAAGTTACCTGGAGATGGGCTGCGTTTGCTGAGAACTCTGGGTTTAGGCTTTATTGCATTGATCTCTTCTCCACCTTCTTGAGCATCATTCTGTGATTTGGAAGCGGAGTTCCCAGCTACATCGTCGTGAACTTCAGGTGACACGCCTCCGCTGTGCTGGCTGAGCTCCTGCTCCTCTCTGCATATATCACTTTTTACGTTCTTGGTTTTCAAAAAGGACAGTCTTGGAGAATTCTTCTCCTCATCGTCAGATAAATGAAAGTCGTTTATCTTTTTTCTAACTAGACTTTCTTCTGTTGAGGTATCTGAAAATTCGCCTAGAGAAACTGAATTAAGAACAAGAAAAAAGTGATTTCAGCAGTACATTTTAAACATGCGATGGCCAGATTCCATCTCTTTGAAAAGCAACCATCTTCAGGAAAAGAGAGGACCAGAAATAAATCAACAATCCCAAAATAGGTACGAATTGATTTTGTACCTCTTGAAAACCGCTAATCTTGGCACTCCTTGTTGGCATTTATGAAATAAAATCTGAGTTTCGTTAACATACTAAAATTATTTACCAAGTGTCTGCAGCACTGTGCTTATTCTGAGGAATGTCTCCCAAAGGTTGCTCAATGTCACACCCACCCCAAAATATTATATCTAATAAAGAACAGCTTAAAAAGACGTAGGACTTAAAGGGCTGTTCACAGTACAAAACAGCACATTTCATTTCAGATTTAAAATTCTATATGCTTATACCTGAAAACTAAAGTAGAATGTTTAGCCCACTTAACGGAAACCAAGTTAACACAAAACAGTGGCTATATGAATGTGTAGGGTCTGTCTTTCACATTGACCCACTTTGGTGTTTTCACTGAGAATATTCCCTGTAGGCTCAGGGGCTTGGACACTTGGTCCCCAGTTGGTGGCACTGTTGAGGAGGAAATGCCTCAGAGCTCACAGCCTGGACCACCTCTGGCTCTCTGCTTCTTGTCTGCTGATGTCTCCTAGCCTGCAGATCCTGCAACCTGTGCGTGCCTACAACTTTCTGCCATGCTGCCCCACCATGACGGACTCGCGTTTCTCTGAGATCATAAACCCAAATAAACTCTTTTCCCCATCAGTCGCTTTGGCCATGGTGCTCTAGCATAGCAACAAAAGAGTAACTAAGGCAGAAGTTGGTACCAGAAAAGAGGCTGCTGCTAGAAACCGGAATGTGGAACACCCCGGAGCTCACACAGCAGTGGTTAAAACTGGAAGGAGAGTTTGAAAGTCCATCCTAGGAGGAGCCTGGGAGACTGAAGTTCTGAGAGTCATAGGGACTGTAGCGGTCCAGCTCAAGAAGTTTCAGGAGGAAGCAAAGACTCTAAAAGCAGGTAGGATAGAGGCCATTCCTTTTGGTTCTTGTTGAAAAATCTGGAGGTTGTCTGGCCTTGTCATAGGATCTTGCCCAAGGATAAAGGTGTAGGTTTGTTTTTGTCGACTTGGACACAAACTGGAATATCTGGGAAGAGGAAACCACAACCCAGGAACTGCCTCCAGCATACTGGCCTGTGGGCTTATCTGTGAGGCAGAGTCTTGACTAAGGATTGATGTGGGAGGGCCCAGCCCACTGTGGGCAGCGCCATCCCTGTGCAGGCATCCTAAGAGCACAAGAAAGCAAGGTGAGTGATTTGAAGGACAGTGAGCCACTGGGCAGTGTTCCTTCACGGGCTCTGTTCAGTTCCTACCTCAGGCTCCTGACTGAGCGCCTGAGGTACCTCAAGGATGGATTGCTACCCGGAAGTGTAAACCACATAAACCCTTTCCTCCCCAAGTTGGATTTGGTTAATGTTTTATCACAGCAATAGAAAGCAAACAGTACACTAACTTAAAAGTAATGGGCTTAATTTCTTTGGTAGAGGAGGCTTGGAGACAGCATACCATGGAATCTATGGCGTGGTTATTACTGGTTTTGCTTAGGCAGATCTGTAAGAAAAACAAGCAAGCTGGACCGAAAGATACAGCCTGGAGAGAAAAAGAGCCCTGGGAAGCTCGATGTTTCTGCACAGCTTGTGCAGGAGGCTGATGAGATCAGCACAGTTAGCAGAGCTCCCAGCTCTGCACTGGAACAAAGGGAAGGTGCCCTCAGGGCAAGAGCCCTCCCCCACTAGGTAGCTATGTTTCCAATAGTGAAAGAGGATATGGAATTCTGCTTCTAGAAATCAATGGGATAAAAAGAGATGTCACCAAATGACAGCCAAGCTTGGCAGTGGCATTCACTTGGTGCTGACTTTGGAGGCACATAATTCAGCTGTATGAGAGGATCATGGATTCTCCTCCTGTGGTTGCAGAGAGCCTCCTTAACTAGGTGAGCTGTGGCAGGAGGGGAAGCCTTGTCGGAAGGCCCTGACAGGGTGAAAACCATGGTGTGGAATTGTGAAAATGAAACTTGGACCCTGCTGGAGAAGCAGAGCCCTGAGATATCTGCCAGAGGGAGTTAGAGACAGGGGGGGGGGGTAAGCTGCAGACAGAGAAGCCTGAGGGGCAGAGCCAACGAGAATCCTGCACACTAATTATGGAGCTCTGTAGGGCTCAAGCTTGCCCTGTATGTTTCTTTCTGCCTTGCTTTACCCAGTATTTCCTCACTATGGGCCCCACATGCCTCTCTTTTGAAAGGTCGTACGCATCCTGTCCCATAATATCTTGGAATTATATATTTTGCTTTTCTGGTTTTCCAAGGGGTTACAATTAAGAGATCGCCCTGAATCGTCCAAATGAGACTGGACTTTTAAGCGGTGCTGAAAATGATAAGGATGATGGGGAATTTTAAAGTCGGCCTGGATGTGCTTCACATTGGCCGTGAGCTCATGGGTTACAGAAAGTGGAATCGGGCAGTTTGAATGAGAATGTTCCCCCATCGGCTCAGGTACGTGACCACTTGGTCCCCAGCTGGTGGCACCGTTAGGGGAGCAGGTATCAGATGTGGAAATACATAACTGGGGGATGTTTTCAGAGTTCATCGCCTCGACACAATTCCAGTTTGCTCTTGGCTTCACGTTTGCTGGCGAGGTTGTGGCTCAGCTTCCTGCCCCTGCGGCCATGCCTGTAGCTTTCTTTCCTCCAAGCCCACTCCCCATGAGGGACTCACATCCCTCTCCAGCTATAAACTAAAATAAACTCTCTCCCTAAGTCCCTTTAGGTCATGATGTTTTATACCAGCAACAGGAGAGTAGCTACTCTACCCACAATCCCAAGCCCCAGTCGCGCGGCATCAAGCAGATTACAGAAGTGCTCCCAGGATGAATCCTGTCACCTCCGGTTGCTATCTGAATACAGAACTCTTCAAGTTGAACTTAAAGATGAAACTTCCTTCTAATACAGCTTACTCCTAAGGCATCACTTTATGGTAGACCTGCTGATAATGTACTTATATAGTTTTAAATTCACATTCAGAAATAAGCAAAAATAATCCGTAAGCTTCTTGAAAATTAAGAGTGGCTTTCTAAGTCATTGCACACACAGAAATTCTGAAATGAGTGAGCTCATAGGCACTGTATTGTCCTAAGAAGTTAGTGGATACGCGACACATAACTAGGGAAGCAAAACACAAAGAACTGGTCCATTTGTGTCTCCCCTTACATACCAATCTCGTCGCTGTCAAAGTCATCTGAGTATTCAGAACTCCTCTGCCTGGCTGACCGGGCTGTAATTGCTCTGATCAGCTCATCCTGAAAGGAGATCAGTAATATCAATTCCCATTCAAGCAGGCACATCTCATACTTAGAAGTAATTTTTAAACAAGCAATACTTTATTATTCTGCTTTCAAATTTAAGTTTCATTCCTCCACCTTCACTCGAAGCCTGCTTTGTGTCACGGTCCCAAGTCATCAAACTCACTGTAGGCCATTTAAATGGGAGCCATCTCCTATGGGATCTGGAGTTAAACAGGAAGTGGCTACCAGCATCAGATAAACTAATTGCAGGTTACAATCTGAGCTAAAAGCTCGTTAATGATAGGAGCATTGGTTTCGGTTTTCTTAGAGACCTGTACATTCTGAGGGAGGTAGGGACTTGGGTTTGACAGGCATGGTAGGCACACAGCCTACCATTAAGCCACATTCCTGTCAGTCTTGCATTGGTACTTCGGGCATACTGCAGATATAGGCATAATCAATACTGCAGATGTGGGTATAATCAATACTGCAGATGTGGGTATAATCAATACTGCAGATGTGGGTATAATCAATACTGCAGATGTGGGTATAATCAATACTGCAGATGTGGGTATAATCAATACTGCAGATATGGGCATGATCAATAATGCAGATATGGGCATAATCAATAATGCAGATGTGGGTATAATCAACTACAGATATGGGCATAATCAATATTGCAGATGTGGAAGAAGAGTTTGGAATTGTGATGACCCAAGTAAGCCTTTTAATGCTTACAATAGAAAACTGAAGTCTAGACAGAGACAGACTCTAAAGCGGCTCCTTTGCTTTCAGCTTAGAAGCCAATATTGAAGAAAGAGTAGTCACAGAGTGGGTATTTTAACACCAGCACCCAAAGTTGACAAACCACCTACAACACAGCAAAAGAGAAGCAAGAACTCTCGCCTCTAGCCAGACCCCTGGCAAATCAGCAAGTGCTGAATTCTAGTATATTCAGAACCAAAATGCCTTGACATATTTTACCTGAAAAGAAGTTCTCTTGGTAGCTTTTGGACTCTTGGTATATGCCAAAGTTGTGCTGAAGATTTCATCCGACATAGTGTATTCTTTTTCTCTACTTTTATAAAATCGTTAATAAATAGTTGGAATAATTCATTCAAACTGTGATTATGGCTGAAAAATATATAAATATATAAAATAATTAGACGTTTTTACATGATCGAGATACTCTATTCCTGGCGTTAGTGTCCTCCCTTCCAAACAGAAAATACCCCGCTCCGAACACTGGCCTATATGTTCACTTCAAAATATAAATGGCGTTTTAGTAAAGACATAAAATTGTCCCAACAAATTGATTTCGCAAAAAGAAAAGACAAAAGAAAGTTACTGCTTTACAACTATTTTAAGAATGAATAAACTTAAAATATAAATTAAAAATAAGGCTAAGCACCAAATGTCCCAGATATTTCTCACTTTTCCATTATTCAACAATATTGCTTTGCAGATGCCAGCATGACTTATTCCAAGAGGACTGTCAGAGTCAAGGTTATCTCGCCCCTGCCCCGAAAAATGAATTGCATATAAACCGTATTCAAACACAATGCTTCGCCACGAACTGCAGCGACATTTTCCTAAGCCATTTGTTTGCTTTCTCACAAAATAAAATAAAATAAAACACACAAGGACGTCTCGACACCAGGCTGCATTAAAGTCTCTGTGGCTCGCGGGACGCCGGAGGCCCATTCGATGGCCGGCCACCGCCCAGAGTTCCCCGGGCCGGCCAGGTGGCGTCCGTGTCCCCAGCTCCTCCGCGCGGCTCCCGACCCAGCGCGGTCCCCTCGACTCCCCGCGCCCCCGGCCCGCGCATCCTGCAATCCACCCCGTGCCCCCTGCGCCCGGGTTCCTGGGACCACCTGAGAATGCAGCGGTTGGGCTCTAGCACCGATGTCGCCCCGGCCAGGGCCTGGAAGTCTGCGAAACCAGGTATTGGAAGAAGCAGGAGGCGGGGCAAAAGATGGAGGCGGAGGGCGGTTGCTAGGCAACAGCGTCCCCGGGAGGAAGTGACTTCCCACCCCGCCTGGTCTCTCGGGTACCCAACACTGACTTTCTGCCCGCGTCACTAGGACAACGGCACAGGCCAAAGGAAGTGACGTCCAAAGGTGGAGGCGTTGGGAGCTCCGTGCCATAACAGCCTGTATGCAATGGCCGTTGCCTAGGAGACAGGACCGTCCCTCCGCCATCAAGCCAGGGCACCTTGGTTGCTCCTGCTCAGAGTCCTTGTTTATAAGCAGGTTGGGCGTAACTGCGACGCAAATGTCGTTTGGCCAGCTAGGACGTGGAATCTGTGAATCTGAGCAGCGTCAGCCGACTCGACGGGAACACGTGATAGTGACGTTTGCAATCTATAGAGTCCAGCTCCATAGTTGATTCTTGGCGTTTGCAAATTAAGGTGCTTTGATTTCATCTGAAATTAATAATTATAATGATGCCCTACTTAAAGGGTTGCTGTGAATATTGAATGCAATACGAAGTGAAATGCTGGGAAGTGTCTCGAATCCAATGAACCAAAACTGCATTCGGTTAATATTACAGATGAGCACTTTTTGCAATGAAAGTAGTACACCACGGAGCCTGGAAAAAAAAATCCCATCTGCACATAGCACAGAGACTGTTTCTCCTTTCTCTGTTTAGCCAAGAATTGCTTAAAAGTCAGTCAGCAAATAAAAATGGGCAAGTAGCCTGGAGGACAATGTACGCTTGAAGGAGTTAATATCGTTGCCATTTAATTATCATAAATAATGTTAATACACAAAACATTTACACAGGTTTCATCTACTTTTAACTTGGAAACAAGTTCGTCAATATTAATTCACTGGCTAGTAACTAGTTTGTTTCTACAAACTAATATTTTTCAAGCAACTCTGGTATATGTTAAAAGCAATGTTTTATAACATCAGAATTGTGGTACCATTTTTTTTCCCTAATGGGTTATAGATCCATAATTGTTGAGTGAATGAGTTCATGAATAACTGAATTAAACCTTAACTGAAAAGTGATATTAAAGCAAAAGGTTCGCAGATAACCCACTTATAAAAAGAAACTCTGCAATGCTTTAAATTTCTTCTCTATTACATATTGCCCTTCATATGTCTGTTGAGTTTAGTGCCTTCATGTCTAAGCTTAGGGCTTTGTTATTTACTTGCATAAAAACACATTCTGAGTCAGATCTTAAAAGTCCAAGTGGAGAGCACCAAGTTCCTGGCTGCCAATAGGACATGCTGCAATGCTGAGTAAATTCACAAAGAGAATCTGTTCAGACCATTGCTCCCCACAAGGACAAAATGAGAAGCTTTTAAGAAATTTCTTCCTGGCAGTATTTCAGTTTTTGCGGATGAGAGTGTGAGTTGAATAGCAAGCTTAGGAGAGAAGACGGGACCAGAAGTCTAGTGCATGGAGCCCACGTGATAGTGGTTTTCAGAGGCTGAGAATCAGTGCTGCTTTGTGCGAGTGCTTAAGATATGCTTGTGGTGTTTATTTAGCTTGTAGCCTTGTACTGCTTGGTAGGCTGGTCTGTGTGTGTGTGTGTGTGTGTGTGTGTGTGTGTGTCTGTCTGTCTTTGTGTCTCTGCCTGAATGTGTGCCTGGTCTGTGTGTGCTTGTATGTGTGTGTCTGTGTGTGCGCGTACACGCCTGTGTGTGCCTGGTCTGTGTGTGCTTGTGCGTGTGTGTGTGTGTATGTGTGTGTTTTGGGGGGGGGGTGCAGGGTGTAGGGAAAGAAGGCCCATTTTCAAATGCCAAAGTGATTGAGATGGGACTTTTCTTCAACAGTTCCTTATTGTGCAGCAGGAAGCTGTCTGTGTTTGTGTGGCTTGTGCAGATTAGGGAAAAGATAAAAATAAAAAGGAGCAAGGTGCTCACAGTCATTATAGGGTAATAAATACAGCAGCCTCTGGGCCCTGAGAGTGAGCTATACATGGATCCCCATGGCTGTTGATGGATGAAGGCTGAGCTAAGACACAAGGACACTGACCATTGAGGGAATTATGGGGCACGCACACTGCCTGCAAGGAAGAGATTCACAAAAGGGGACATCAGAGTGTCAAGGAAAGCCACCAGCTATGGTAAACTATAGTGCTTAAGTGTCATCTTTCATGTATGTGGGAACACTTAACATCACTACTTTAAAAGAAATGTCAACATTATCAGGAGCAAAATGAAATCACTCTTGTCAACCTTAATCTTCAAAGTAAACAATGCCTTGTTGATGTGAAAGGCTTCTGCACGGTTGACTGATCCTACTAAAGATTGCCAGAACCTTCAACTCCACAGACAGCACCTCCTACAGATAGTAGTCCAGCAGGACATTGAGTGAGCGTCCCCTGCTCAGGCTGGAAATGACAACACTCTTTGTCAATGACAGATGGAAGATTGTTGTTTGACAATGCCCCATGTGTATCCTTTGCCCCCCATGTCCTTGTGTATGTCCATAATTTACTCTAACATACATGTTTCCATGGCAATGGTCTGCTATTGCCAAACAATTTCCTTTTGGTTTTAGGAGAATCTCACTGTTCTAAATAATTCAAGTCATCAAATAGAACTGTGCACCACTGCATTTTATATAGAGCTATTCGAGTTACTATACAGCAAGAGAAACGTGATTGTTTATTCTCAGACAGAACTCATCATCTTGGACAAACTGTCTTTGTTGTTAGGTTAATGTCCTAAGCCATATGTCATTACAGATGTTCTGGTGAGACACATGGTCTGGGCGGACACTAAATGGAACTGTGGCTAACTATTCTGGGTCTGGAATAGCGCTCTCTACTCTGCTCATGTTTATTTTAATCTTTCTCTATCCTTATGAAATCTCTGTGTTTTATATATTCACATTTTATGAGAGAAAATGAAGGTCTAGAAAACTTAATTACTTTTCCCAGGATATTTACTTCAGTGATTAATGACTACAAACAAAATTGGATCCAGTCAGGCTAACCTAGAACTGGTGCTCTTAACTCACAGTCTAAGTACGCAGCAGCACTTCCTCCTGGGGGTGTTTCACAGCCTAACCCCTAACCCCTGGGAAATACATTACCTTATTTTTTTAAATTAATTAAATTAATGATTTCCAAACGCAGGAAATATCCCCTCTGATTCAGGAGGAACCAATGTAGTCACAAGAAAACTGTGGGAGGGGTCAGACCCAGTGAGAGTGAACCCGGAGGTTGGAGTCATGCAGAGCCGTAGCCTGGATCTGATTGGCTTTTATAGATTCTTCTTTCTATCCTTCAGACTTGCCGTCTTGTCAACCCATTTTAGACAAAGCCAATAATAGACCCAAGACTTTATTCACCACGTATCGAGCTTGTTGATCCAATGACTGACAGGAGCATGCGTGACTCTAGCCAAGCATCACTAAAAAGTCCACCCCAGCGTGAACAGTGGCTTACAAAAGCGGCACCGTTAAAGTTCGCTGCGTCACTTGCAAATAGCAAAGGTTTTCTCCACTAGCAACTGCCCGCTGCTTGTGTGGTATCGAGGCGGAGTCTCATGGGCCGCAATCTCCTTGTGTGTCTGTAGCCTCCCCCACCCTCCAGTTGGTAATATGTCAAGCTAGAGTTACACAATGTCTCATGCTGTGAATCAACTGTACCAGAATAAACGCGCGTTGTTTGTAAATAACTGTGTTTCAATATGCTGTGGGCACATAAGAAATTATGTCACTCCCGTGGTACATCTTCTTTCATATAGCTGACTTTTAAGTCAAGATCTGGTCCTTGTAATAGAATTAAGATGAAGGTGAGTTGTTTTATATTAGGAGATCTGGTTTCCTTTGGTATGTATTACCCGTAGTGGGTTGGCAAAAACAATTATGAACCATGCACAGCCAAAGATGGATGCCCCAACGGTACAGAGGAACTTTGGGTGACTGTCCAGGCAGTGAGATGTCTCTGTCATTTCTAGAATTTGGAAGTTGCTTATTTCTTGTTTGCTTAGGTAATATTATATCCTTCTGGAGTCTTTGATGGAGTTGAAGAATAGATAGTTATAGTTGTTTTCCTTTGTTATGATAAAAGATAAAATAGATATAAATATTGTAACTGTAATTCTTACTTGATAACTGTTTTGTTATATGTAATTTTTCTATGTTAAAGTTAAAGCCTTCTTTTTTTGTTTAAACAGAAAAAGGGAAAATGATGTGGGAGTGTCATATCAATCTGTTGCTTTCATTGGTTAATTAATAAAGAAACTGCTTGGCCTGAGAGGTTAGAACATAGGTGGGTGGAGTAAGCAGAACAGAATGCTGGGAGGAAGAGGAAGTAAGCTCAGACTCCATAGCTCTCCTCTCTGAGGCAGATGCGATGAAGCTCCGACCCAAGATGGACGTAGGCTAGAATCTCCCTGGTAAGTCATCACCTCATGGTGCTGCACACATTAATAGAAATGGGCCAAGCAATGTTTATATGAATACAGTTTGTGTGTTGTTATTTTGGGGCAAAAGCTAGCTAGGCAGCCAGGAGGTAGGTGGTAGGAATGCAGCCCGCAGCTCCTCTCTACATCCCTCCCTTGTCTCCTCTGGGAAGCTAGCTTTGTCTGGAAGGGGAAGAAGCCTGTTGACATGCATGCCTCACTGAGCTCCAGAAGATGGCAGCAAAGGATTTGCACCCACGTAGACAGCAATAATTATGACTACTTGGAATGAAAATAATTTAAACTTTTAAATACTTTAAGTAATTCCTTGATTCTTTTTACACGATCAGATTTTTCTTTATACTATAACATTAAAAAATTAAGTAATAAATTATAAAAAACATTATAATTTATTACTTAATGTGATAAGAAAACATTTAAAATTCTTTTTAAAAGTGTTGCAGCAGCAGCTTACCCAAGTCAACTCCCTACTACCCCAAATAAAGCTACAATAGTGTTAATAGTTACAATTATTTTCCATAAATTTTTAAGACATAAAAATATTTACCTGATATAGTCTTCTCTAATCTGGTCATGTCACTCAAATATCTTTGCACATTAATTAAAAC